ATTGTTCCTTATTTTATTATAGCTTCGTTTCCTTTGCTTGTAACATTAATTTTCTTGTTTAGAGATGGGTAATAGCTTTTCGGCGACAACGTTTATTGCGAAATATTAATACTAACAATGGCACTGAAAGACAAAACCAATCTTTAAAATATAGTTTTTTGGAAAAAAGAAAAAAAAAATTTTTTTGACAGTTATGCTTACTTTTTGTATAGAGGAATTTCTACCTTACAATTATCAAAAGTTTAGTTATTTTTATGTTAATTGTACTACAATTACTTGTATCATAGTACTGGTGATTTCATTTAAAAAATAAATAGCAGTAAATGTATAACTAATGTAACTGTTGCCATTACATTAGTTATACATTTATTATTGTATTGTTATATTGGATTTGATTAAATCTTGTCTAACTAGACAATTTCCTTTCATTTAGCTATGCTGATAAAAATAGAAGACCACATTCATCCTACAGAAAATATAAGGCTAACATTTCAGCATATTTGACAAATCGTCCAAAACCTTTAGTCAAACATTGCATGAAAATGATAGACAAAGTAATAAGCATGGATTTAGTCAGAGTTAGTGCAGTAACAGACAGATTATACAATGTTGCTTCATTTCAGAGTAATAGTAGAGAAACTTACCAATGCAATCTTGGTAATGCAAACCAATTGCCAAGTTGTTCATGTTCTGCTTGGTTATTGGTGCATATCCGTGCAAACATTTTTTTGCCAATTTTATTAAAGAAAATATGTCATGGTCTGAATTTGATCCCTCTTATGAAGAATCAGCATATTTTGTTCTTGACCCATTGTCAGATGACAGTATTTTTATAGATTTGGTTTCAAACAATAAATCATCAAGTCTGTATAGCCTTGAAGATGCAAAACCACTGGATGGTTCTGTTTCACCTGAACATAGTCAGCCAATACATAGTATTCATTGTATTAATAGTACAGTATCAAACCTTGATCAAAATGTAGCACATGATCTCTCAAAGGCAAGGCACACACCAGCAGCATGTCGTGAACTCCTAAATGCAATAATAAAAATGACATATTTATCTGACTCTCAAATCGTTACTGACAATCTGTTTGATGAGCTTTCTAAACTTAAAACAAGCTTTGCAAAAACTCTTAAAAGCGACCAAGGGGTTATCCTACGCCCAGATAAAGAACCAGAAACATGGGTCATGTCAAATACAAAATTACCGCATCTTGTTAATCTTAATGTTCGGCACAGAAAGAAAATGTCCAAAAGAGTTGGTTTGAAACATGATAATATCAAGGCAGCTTCAAATATCGATGTGCTATTCAAAGCAAAAGATGAATCTTGTATAACTGAGATTTTAACTAATCATGTAATTGATGAAAATTGTCAAATGTTTACAATACCCAATTAATCAATAAACATTAAAGGTAGTATATGTAAAGTAAAAGTAAGAGCTGATATTTGCCAAGATTTTGACAAAGCCACTTTTGTTAATGATAATTTCCAACTTAAAAAGGATGTGCACTTTATTTAGCAACTGAAATGCTCATTGATTGGAGATTTAGAAAGGGATGACATAGGAAAAGGAAAAATGATAAATGATAATGTCATTCACTTTTTTCAACAAATGATGTCAATTCAGTTCAGCCTGCAGGATCTCATTTAAGGAAAAGTTATGTCTTTTGATATATGTTCAAGTGATCCATTTGTACAAATTTTGCATGATGGTAATCTACATTGGGTGTGCGTTACCACATATGAATGCAAGCCTGGGGAGATATATATTTTTGACAGTCTTTTTCATGGTTCAATAAGTATAGAGACAAAAAGGCTAATATGCTCTATTTTGCACTGTCCCCAAAAAAAAATTGATGTTAAAGTTTTACCAATTCAGCAGCAAACAAATGGTGTAGATTGTGGTCTCTATGCTATTGCGTGGGCTTGACAGGTATTTGAAGCGAATAAAATACCACCAAGTACTCTTATGTTTGAGCAAAGTAAAATGAGGATTCATCTTCTTAACTGTATGCTGAATAACCAGTTAGATGTTTTCCCAACTGCCATTACTCCTATGATTAGAAGATGTGTCGCAAAGAATTTCCACATTCCTCTACATTGCTCATGTCGCATGTTTTGGATCCTTGAAGATGAGCACATTTTTAATAGGTATGTTATCATTTATATTCAGCTTTGATATTGGTAGAGTGACAATATTAACTTTAAAATTGATAGAGTGACCGTATTAACTTTGCATAGCAATACCCTTTGCGATTGTCTCCTTATAAATTTTAAAGTATACATATAAGGTATAATTGATACCAATTTTTCCAATTATAACTTCTAATGGATTTGTTTTTGCAGGCAAATGGCTCAATGCTGTCTTTATAAAAAATGGTTCCACCGTGAGTGTCAAAAAATTCCACTGTGTGCTTATGAAAAGGAAGATGTAATATGGAACTGTTATAATTGCAAGATGCACGCAACATAAAACTAAGGTTTAATCTGTTAATAAGTGCCATAAGTTGTTAAGGTAACCCAACATATTAAACTATTAAAATTATAGTTGGTTATTGTTACAAAGGTTATTATTATTAAAAGTATTATCATGAGATATATTTTTTTATATAAATTTTCATTCTTGCATTTTATATTTTCAAAATCTCAGTTTTAAGTTGACAAGTACACAGATTTTTTATTTTTAAAATTCTTTAAATTTTAATCACATTAAATGCGGTTTAGGGTTTCAGTATTTAATGTTTTTTCTTTATCACTGAAATTAAATGAAATAGCTCTATTCTTGCATTCCTGTTGCTGTTATTGTAATGCATAAAGCTTGGAAATAATACCAGTTATTGAATATGCATATAGCTTGGTGATGATACCAGCAATCCGATTGTTGTTATTGGATATGCATATAGCTTGGTGATGATACCAGCAATCCAATTGTTGTTACTGGAAATGCATATAGCTTGGTGATGATACCAGCAATCCAATTGTTGTTATTGGAAATGCAGATAGCTTGGTCATGATACCAGCAATCCAGTTGTTATCGAAAATGCATATAGCTTGGTGATGATACCAGCAACCAATTGTTGTTACTGGAAATGCATATAGCTTGGTGATAATACCAGCAATCCAATTGTTGTTATTGGAAATGCATATAGCTTGGTCATGATACCAGCGATCCAATTGTGCACATAGCTAACTTTTTTTATTAGTACTAGTAAGTTTTTTTTTTAAATATTTTATCTATATTACAAGTGGTACTCTTAAGTGCTTAATGCATAGCAAAGTAGAAATGAAAGAGGGTGAGTAAATATTACTTTAAATGAAAGCGGTGGAAAATATTTTACAAAATCAAACAGTTGTATTTCTTTTCAGTTCCATTAAATAGAGGGTAGATTGTTGCGTCGAAGTTTCATAACTGTGGTTGTAATTATTTCAATTGGATTTAATATGAAAGTTATATCGTAAGATAGTTTTTGATAAAAACTTGGATGTGTTGATTTAAGGATGCAGTAAATTTGATTTTACTAAGTGAAAATTAATTATTTAATATGTGTTAATAAACGTATATAGTAAGTTAATAAGCGTCCTAATAACGTAAGTTAATAAACGTATATAAAAGTTAATAAACGTATATAGTAAGTTAATAAACGTCCCCTCTCGAGTATTAAGCACCTAAGACTATACTTATATTGACATCATGATCGACTTGCACTGTTAGTAATAAAGTCTATTGCTATGTCGCAATGTATATTGTACTGCTATACTGTAAAAATTTTATATCTTATTTTTAGCTAACAGCGAATATTGGCGCCATATGATGCAAGTTTTACATCAGTTATCACAGTTTGGTATTGCGCAATTAATATTTTAAATCTGTTATCATAGTTTGGTAATGCACCTTCACTGTCATTCGTGTAGATAAAAATGGAACTCCAATGTTTCTCGACCAAGATAATGAATGCAGTAAATATTAAATTTAAAATAACATTTTGTCTTGATCTTAACTTAACCATTTATAACCCTTGGCCCAATGCTAAAAAATGCCATTTATAACCCAAATAATGCCATTTATAACCCTTGGCCAATAACAAAAAAAAACGAAGATTTAACTTACCCGTAAATATTTTTTTCCGCATAAAGTTTAGAATGAAAATAATCCATTGATATACCAAAAAAATCGTTTTTTAGGTTACTACATTGCGCTATTAAGTTTATAGCATGTTCGTTTATACATGCTACCTGTTTAGGTATAAACGAAAATGCACCGCAGAAAAGCATTTAAGAAGTTTGAATTCCTTAGGAAATAAAACGGTTTTACAAAACTTACCCAGGTGGATTTGCACCACGGATCTATTGTTTCTTAGGTAGCGCGTTTGTGCAAGTCATAAGGTTCCCTCGAATGTTTTTTTTTTTTTTAAGGGCCCAGGGAACCCATCGCAAACAAAATACAAATTGCTTAAGGTGGTAGTATACTATTAAAAAAATCTTCATTGTAGATGTTTTTGTTAGTTATGGGCAATCCATATAGATTCCATCATTCATGGAATGAATGAAGGAAGTAACTAGAGGAGGTTCTTGTGGTCTCAACACCCCTCTCCCTTAATGTCAAAAGTTTGACATTAAGGGAGGGAGGTGTTAAGACCGCAATTTAATTTTTTTTAGAAGATTAATTAGCAGATTTTTATAAAATTTAAACTTTTCGGAAACTTTATTATAATCGGACACGCAGTTTAAGGGGGTACAACCCCATAAACAAAAAAATCTGTATTTTTGATAGTTAAATAATTTTTTCTATATATTAAGTAAGTTCTATATGAAACTAAAACAAAAAAATAAGGGTTGTCCTGAGGGTTCAATTTTTAAGGGGTAAAAACCTAAAAATTGTTCATTTTTGTGGCAAAAATATTGCAAAATACAGAAGATTACATAGAATAAAATTTTGCATATAACTAGGTTGATGTTAGAGGTATGTAATGAACCTCAAAAACTTATAACTTACTTATTCCTTAGGGTCGTGCTTTATTTCTTTAAAGGATGCAAAAAAAAAAAAAAAAAAAAAACGCTTTTTTAACTCATTATAATGACCGAAAAATTACAATACTTTATTTTTAACTTATACATAAATATAATTTTGAGGTTCATTGCACAACTTGATGCAAAATCAATAAACTGTCCATATATGATAAGTTTTGGTCAATCCGTTTCTGAAATATTCTTGCCACAGTAAAGTAAAGTTGGTATAATATTGGTATCTCATAAAAAACGTTTTAAAAAGCGATTTATAGAAATTCTATTTATAATAACGATTATGTTTGTTTTTTTATCTATTAAATATTGCACTATAGACTATGATTAAACATTAGATGCAACTTTATTCATAAAAAACCAGTTTTATAATTTGATAATCCATCCCTGTTGTACGCATACTACATTCCCTGTCATACGCATACCATTCAACAACAAATGTCAAAACCTTTTGTTTCTAATCTTTCTTTAAAGTTCAGAGCCATTTAAATCACAAATTGCGCACTAAAACTTAAGTTCGAAAACAAATCCTAACTTCTAATTTTGATTTAGCTTTATAAAATGTTCACATGTGCACCCACTCGACACGAACGAATGTTAAAAATCTCAGCTAACAATGTAATCTTAACTATTTGGTTCCATGTAATGTTTTTTATAAAACAGTCAATAATAAATTCAACCTTTCAACCATTTATTTTCTTATAAGAAACTATTTGCTAAGAAAAAAATCTTAGGTCAACTTAAAATAGTGCTAAAAAAGGTGAAAAAAAGTACTCAAAAACTGTTGTTACGTGCGTTGCTAGGCGACTTAAAATAACAGTAATCTAAACAAATGAAATTTTGACCAATTTTAGTATCTATTTAAAAAAAAAATTAATATCACCAACAGTTTCTTTTATAAATTTAAGTTAAGTTGAGTGTATTTTTGAAAAAATATTTTTTTTAAACAATTTACACTTTTTAATGGTTTGCCTCCTTAAATTCAGAAACGACCTTGCTTATATGTTTAAAATATTAAAAATAAACTTATTTTAAATTTTTCTATATTAATTCAGGACTGTTGAGAGCAGTGGCAGAGTGGCCCAAGGTTGCTGGGTCAATTTTACCAGCTTTTATATTCTTAAAAATAATAAAGTTTAAAAGACATTCAAATTTGGTAGTTGGCTATCTTTTTTTAATTCTGGTTACCAAATTTACGACAAGAGTCAAAACAAAATTATAAAGAAAAAATTAAAATTGCACTAGTTTATGGCCGGTGGGCCATATACTAAAAATGTATAGTAAATTAGTATTATTTTACAGGAGGAGTCAGCCAAAGATTGACAGAGTTTGACAAAAGGATAGGAGGGAGGTCAAAAAGCCGAGAAAAATCACTGACATTATTTATGGACAACCCCTTACTTTAGCAGCTTGAAATACGATTAATTTTAAAAGTATGTTCTTTTATACATAGTTGATTTCATAGTTATTATTGCCCAACAAATTTCTTAAAACAATAGTCATTTTTAACGGCAAACAGTTTTTGCTCACTACATTTGCTTTTACCAAGTTTTTCTTGTTTAGCTAAGCTTTGTTTACAAAAAACTGCAGATAGAAAAAAGAAAGATTTTCCAATTGCAATTGTCAGCATATTTTTAATTTGAAGTTCAAACCATACTTTTCTGTAGGAATTAAGCATTAAATAAATATCTTCAGACAAATATGCTTCAGACAAAATGTGGTATAACTTGTTGCTAAATCTCGGGAAAAATAAACCATTGTTAGGGAAATACCTATATATTCAAAATAAATTTTATAGCGTGAAGCATTTTTGTCGATGCGAATGCGAAGAAGTTCCAGTCTTGAGAAAAATAAAAATGTTTCAAAACTATATTGTTCAATAGAAGCACCCCTCGAAAAGAAATACTCAAGCAAATAAAATTAGAACAAATCAATATAAAATGTTCAATATTTAAAAAGTTGGTATTTTATATATTTCAAGTTACATTATTGATAATTCTAGTCAAAAAAGAGTTTATTTAATAGTTTACGAATACAGTTGTTTTAGTACTTTAACTTCTTCGAAACAAGCTCAGACATTCCGACATGACCCTAACGAGATGTAGCTTTGTCACATATTACAACTTTAAAAAAAAAATTACGATAAAGGATTTCATAATAACATCAAAACTAAATAAAAAGGAGAATCAAATGATTTACGAACACACAGGTACATTCAAATAAAGACATTAAATAACATATTAAACTCCAATATTTTTAATACTGCAAACACAAGACAGAAAAGACAAAAACTAACACAACTTACGTAACACTATAACAACATTTACTCAACTGTAACTAAAACAACACGTACGTAACTCTAACTCAATCACTGAACAATACTCCCCTCTTAAATAGCACCCTTCAATACGAGACATCTGTCGAAATATTATAATTTATCTGGCACTCCCTTGCACTCATATAAAATGTTTCCTC